TATTTGGAAGATCAGAGGAAGCCTGCCTTCTTGGCCCCTCTGGTCCAGAAGGTACCTTTAAAACGACCTTCTCTTCAGGCACCAGATAGAGGCTTACCTCGGCTGGCTTTCCCTATTACTCAGAATCAACAGTCCACTGAACCTTACCCCGTTATGGGAGCTACTCCTTTGCAGCGGACTCTGTATCAAGCAACACAGTATGGGGAAGACACCTCTGCTTTTCACGCTTACCCTGTTATTCAGCAGGGGGGACAGAGAGTGTACTCCGCCCTAAGTTTTAAATTGCTGGAAGATTTGAAATCCTCTACAGCCCAGTATGGTCCAACAGCTCCCTTTACCCTGTCTATGCTTGATAATTTGAGCAGGGAGGCATTATGCCCAGGAGATTGGAAGGTCATTGCTCAGGCTTGTTTGAGTGAGGGAGATAACCTCTTGTGGAAAGCAGAATTTGCAGAGAATGCTGAAAAATAGGCTATGTATAATAAAAGAACTAACACACCAGTGGATTTTAACATGCTCACAGGTACAGGACAATATTATGATGTGGGCCTCCAGCTGAATTATCCTGAAATTGCATATAATCAAATTAATACCTGTGCCATTGCAGCTTGGAAAAAACTCCCCTCCACAGGGGGCAGAACTGAGGAATTGTCTAAAATTAGGCAAGAGCCAGATGAGAAGTACCAGGATTTCGTTGGGCGCCTTTTGACTGCAGTCAGTCATATCGTTACTGATGGGGAGGCAGGTACCATTATTGTAAAACAACTGGCTTATGAAAATGCTAATTCTGCATGTCAGGCAGCCATTCGTCCTTGGAAAAATCAGGGTACCTTGGAGGATTATGTCAGACTATGTGCTGAGATTGGACCATCTCATATTCAGGGCATTACTTTGGCAGCTGCCTTAAAGGGAATAGACCCCTCACAGGTGCATGCCCAACTTCAGGGTAAAAACGTAAGAACTAATCCAAGGAAGTTGGGTGGAATAGTGTGTTTCAAATGTGGCCAAAAGGGCCATATGAAGGCCCAATGTCATAGTACAGAAATAATTCCAACCACCCCCGGTTTGCCAAGTGGCCCTAACATTAATAATAAGCCGGCAATTATTTGTCCCAGATGTAGACAGGGGTATTACTGGGTCAATGAGTGCCGCTCTAAAACTGATTGTAATGGCAAACCTCTTCAGGGAAACTGGAAGCGGGGCCAGCCACAGGCCTCTCAAACAATTGCGGCAATGTTCCCACAGGCACCTTCCCACCCATTGTGTCCAACACTGGAGACCTCCCAGGTATTAGCCAACTACACCGCGGTAACCCCGCCAGTGCAGGACTAGATCTTACCCCAGCTCAGTCCGTTTACCTAGAAGGAGGACAGCCCCCTAAAGCCATCCCCACAGGG